AGCCACTACTGAGTGTCCTAGTCATGCAGGTTAACCTATTTTCTTCCAGCTTATTTAGCTTTATTGTGTGAAATAATAGTGTATAATCATGTGATCTATATAATAAACTGTGCATATTATACAATTATGCTCTAATTGGAAATCCAATGGAGTACCATCTTGGCCTTATAAATCATAGTTAGAGTTTCTTTATTAAATCCTGAGTAACACATTTTCTAAAAATATATCTATTAGAAATGGTTTTATTTTAGATCCTCCAGTAATGACTACAGCACCTCTGGTAACCGTTTCCGACACTATCGTAACAGTAACATGGGACCAATGGACAAATATTGTTGGGAATGGAGATGGTCCAGTAATTGGATATAAAGTCTGCTATACAAGGACTGAGAGTTCTTTTAAAAAGTGCGTTGAAAACGCACTGAATTTATCAGCTAGCTTTGTTATCGACAGCGATGATGAATTTAAACGAGGGTTAGATTATATTTTTGTGGTGAGTGCCATACGTCCCGGAATTCAAGGAGAGGGTGCTTTCAGTCCCTCATCGACATCCGTCACAATCCCTTGTCTTCGTAAGTAATTCTTTGAACTTTCTTTAATTTTTTTTTCTGTTGCTCAAAACTTAAATCTTTCTGAAAATACTCTTAAGAAAAATAAACTTTATAAATATAAAAATACGGTAATAATTAAATGTTAACAAATGTTTGTAGTCCATGTAGTGTGTTAGATGTAGAATCCTTTTTTTGTTATATTTTTTTCTAGTAATTCACTTGTATAACAAAATAGATAACAACAAAAAAAAATTTAGTAGTTACATGCAAAATTAAGCAAATGCAAAAACAAAATTTATGCTAGATAATTACTGTTTAAATACGGAATATACTGTATGTGTCGATAATAAAATATAGGATAACTCAATATTTAATGCTTTCTTTGTAAGAAACGGCTTTTCACGTCAATGATTGCCAAAGGCATGATTAATGCTCTTTCAATATTTTTTTTAATTGAAACCCTTAAAATTGTCTGGCGGCCAATCTAAGGATGTATGAATGAATTTGCATACTGAAGATAGAGTTGTAGATATAGTTATGATTAGGCCTAGATAATGTTAAATAATTTATTGATTTTCAAAAAATTATACCTCTTTTAATCTATTTTATAGATTTGATTAAAACTATTTTACTCGCTGTTTTAGTATGCCAAATTATGTATATAGGCTGAAAATTGAATAACATTAAATTTTATAGAGCACATTAATGTAGCTCATAGCTCAGTTGACTAAACTGGTAGTTGCTGCGTGTGCGCTGAACCATGACGCTCTAACCTTTTGTACACTGTTTATAGCCATTCCTGCTCTATTTTAGTTTTAGCTGGAGGGCTGAAATACATAAAAGATTGCAGTGGTCATATTTTTCAGGAAAATAGGTTTAAGTAGTTGGTTCTATGTGCAATATGACCAATGTGCACATTAAAGAACACAATACACTCTTTAAAAAAGTGTAAATGATTGTCTCCCAGTGCACTCCCAATCACCACCTAATAGCAAAATTCTTCTGACTTCAATCGAATCTTGGGAAATATTTTTGTAACTTTACAGCTCCTGAAGTGGCGCCCTCTATTGTTGAAGTTTCGTCACTAGGTATTAGTGACATTCAAGTACAATGGCAGGTAATAAGTGTTTGATTGATATTTGACGGCAGTAGTATTGTAGAGCACGGACCTATTAAATTAATAGGTCCATGATTAATAGAGATTTACTTATTATCATTGTTTTGTGATTAGCCCTACAGTATGTTCCTCTTTTATGTTACATTCTAAATATGACTAAATGTCGTGTGAATGAGTGTCTCTGATGCATTATATTTAGACATGAAAATTATAACCATAGTATACACCAAATGTAAAATAATATTACGTACAGTAATTCCGTGCAAAAATGTATTTCATATAGCAGAGACCTTCATCAAGAGGCTGCAAACAACATCAATGATCATTTTGTTTCTGTGTGCCTGCAGTAGATAACTAGCTAACGATTAACCTGCATTCACAAGACCCACCATTGCAAATCTTCACTGGCATTCAACTTAAATAAAATATGTGGAATAAAACAGCTTTACATTAGCTGCTTTTAGTGGAAGTTTTTATAGTGGAAAGAGAAAGATGTGCCCCTCTTCATAATATGTAGTCTTTTAACGGCAACATAATGTCAATGGCTGCCGAATGTCTGAAATCAGACGGCTACAAGTTACAGTACCAGTACCAGTACCAGTAGGGGAGTGCCTCCTGGTGTACTGCCTGATTCACCACAAGAAGGACTCCACTGGAAATAATTATGTCGTTGGACTTCCTTGAGCTTGTTATGTATATCCTTGTAATATCTCTTTTACATTTTTAAGTTTGTTACCCGAGTTGACATAATAGACATAAAACGAGTTTTTATTTCGAATATTTCGAGCATGTGTGCTCTTCCTCAGCAATAACAGGTATGATGCTGTCTCTTATTATATATATATATATATATGTATATGTATATATATATATATATGTATATATATATATGTATATATATGTGTATATATATGTATATATAATATAATATATAATACCAATTTGTACATTTTTATATAACTTCATATAACCTCAGTGCCCATTGGTCACTGTTGAACATACCCCTCCTCTAAAATCTCTGAACCAATGTTTCTTGTTTTTTCAAAGTTAATTGATGCTCAGCATTGGAGATGTAATTCGCTGGATAGTTATCAAGTGGAATACAAAATGTCAGAGAGTCGAAGTTTCTTATCACAAACTGTGACGAGTACAGCCACGGCAGCGATAATTTCTAACCTAGACCCTTGTACGTCTTACCAAATTAAAGTTATATCTACAAATTCTAGAGGGCTTGGACCAAGTTCTGATATTATCACTGTGGCAACAGACGTACAAGGCAAGATAAATTAACTTTTATTTATTGATATGCCAATTTGAAAAATATTGCAAAGATTTAATAGCTAACAACTTGATAGCCTAGTTTACAATGGCGCATATTTATAATAATAATATCTACGTAATATAGCACTTATCAGAAAATACTTATCAAAACGAACTACGGCTCTGATTATTCACGCTTTCATTTTCTCCCGACTTGACTATTGCAACTCTCTTTTATTTAACATTCCTAAAATCCAAATTAACAGGCTTCAACGACTACAAAACTCTGCTGCACGCATACTAACATTTACTAACAGACGCACTCATATTACCCCCATTTTACGTGAACTTCACTGGTTGCAAATTGATGCCAGACTTCAATATAAAATCCTTTTACTGACTTATAAGTCACTGACTCTCAATCAACCCGCATACATTAATCAACTTCTTCCCAAATATGTGCCTGGCCGTTCCCTACGTTCATCTGATCTCAATTTAATTTCTGTCCCTCGCACCAACACTAAGACCTTCGGACACAGATCATTTTCA